GACGTTTCCAACCCTTATATTTGCACCTTCGAGAGTTGTATGTTGTCCTTCCTGTGGAATTGAGGTATCATGTTAGTTTTTAGAAAAGAAAAAAAATAAATTTAATGCAGGAAGTGTAAGTACATAACACGTGTTCAGTGTAGAACCTACCACTTCACGTAATTCGTCATAGTGCCGGTACCTTATGTACTCATCTCTGTACTTGCCATAGTCGGATGAATGTGCAAGCCATTCCAAAGCTGGGTACCAATTAAGTGCTTCCTCGACTTCTGACTCATCAGTGAGCTTATAATTGGAAAGCATTGTCCTCGGTTAAATTTTTGGTACTCAAGGTTCTGTGCTGCCTAAGTTTTGCATAGCGACTCGCTCTCCCAAATACCAGGCAAAACCAGCTTATCCCTCGAGTAGGATTCGTTTACGAATTGCAGGCATGGTATTTTTGACTTCTTCCGGCATCTCAGATTCATTGGTCCCCCATGGGTTACAATTTACCTGCGATACAAATTGGTTATCTTTGCGTATGATATATTTTTTTAGTAATAAAATCTCGATTCAAGAGTAAATGCTTCATAAATCATTTATTAGATGTCGGATCATGACTCTAAAACTTACCAACTGATGGTGCAAGTCTCACTTTGCTTTTGCACCTAACCACCTTAATTCTTGGGGCCACGTGTTCAAGGTCCTATTGGGCATTGCTAAAGCAAAAGGCTTTAGGTACTTGCAGACCCATACCTATACAAAACAACTATACAAATTAGCAATTTAAGCAAAAAAGTCTGCTGCACTTTGGGGACATCCAATTCGATTACACTAACCTCCCATGCCCTCCAATACCCGCCCATGCTTGAGGACCTTCCCCTGGAACAAGAATCCATTGATCTATACAAGCAAGCCAAAGCTGCACCACCCCAATCATAATTACCAATGTCTGAGACTATTTCTAGACTTGGGGCGTAGTGCATACTCACATATTGGCTCTTATCATTTAGGAATGAGGAGCCAATCAAGCATAGTAAAAATGCCCTTGCAATTTGGTCGGCTTATTTATCATCTTTGGGAATCTTCTTCCAGTACGAGGTAGAAAGGCTTTCATACGGCACTCTCCTTTCGCCCACTAGTAGATCTGCAATTGGTTTCCCAAACAATTTAACCAGCTTGTTCTTATTTTTGTAAATCTCCAAGTCGTACCTTAATCGCTTCCTACCAACACGCAATCCTGTGATTCCTGCGAAGTTCATGGAGGTCATCGTCATCTCTCCAACTTCATCGAAGTGGAATGTGTGGGTAGTGTCCCACCATCTCTCAGCTAAGGCCACATGTGGCCTATCCCTTTTCTTTCCATGCCTCAATATTGACACAAAGGGAAAAAAGCCAACTTCTTTGACCTTCGCTTTCACAGTGTCGTGCATTGTTGTGTTATACCATGTAGCACACTTGGCATTGTTTCCACACCCTCTTATTTGTTTTAAAGTAAGCTGCATAAAACCAAAAACATCATTCATCTCAATTAGATTGTGACCCACTTATTTACAATTTATTCCAAAGTGAGGAATGCAAATTGAAAAATAAAATAAGAATACCTTGAACAAGATATGTTCCTCCAATTCTACGTGAAGCAAGGGTAAACAAGGATTTCGGTCCTTTGTTATGAACACACATACACCAAACACCCCACTACCCATAGGACCAGAGAATCGTTTTGCTGGCATCCATTTTTTTGAGCTTGAGGTAGCCACTAAAGACTTACTTTTCGTAGGCTTTGCACGTGCGATCTTCAGCTAACGGGAACCTTCATCAGATGCTTCAACCTCAATGGACTTGTTCTTGGTCTTCATTGTGGCTTGGAATATCCTTCAACCTTAATACAGTAACAATAACTTTGATAAACATGTTCATACTAGAAATTAGTTTATCATTGAAACAATTGGTACATAATTTTTTTTGGGCAAGTAGAGCATACTTTGTTAGTAAATGTATATTGGCATTATGCATGAATTAGCAATATTAGATAAATATGTCACATGATATATCATGTCATTATTCAATAATTTTTTTTCCTTTTCAGAGATAAAGCTACACTTAACACTGCATGCTTTGTTTCATCGACCGACAGTATTTCATTACCCATCCAAAGAATCAAATATTTTCATTGGAGATTAAATGTGACAAGTCTAAAACCACAGCCCACCATTTCAAACTTTGAAACAGAGAGATCCCATTTCAAGCTGTTTACCCAATAAATAAGCAGTGTAGTCATTTCATTAATTAATAACAGCAAGAAGAAATTGTCCGAGACTCAGAAAAAAGCATAAGTAGAACAAAAATAGTCAAAGCAGCACTAAAATCTAAATGACCTACGTCCATTTGTAGCCCATCGATCCAAAACTGCCAAACAAAACACACATAGAGTCATCTTCCTCACGGAAGTGATACACAAGAACAAACTTCCTAATCCAAAGAACTAAAGAAATTGTTAAAGCCACTTTTTACTTTGCCTAACTTGATTTGAAACTTATTAAATTAAAGGTGCTAATGTAGAATATTAGGTTAAGATTATGCTTTCATACTTTAGTATTCAAGTAGTTGACATTCACATAAACAAAAACGCACTGGAAGGAAGAAGGCTAGGATTTTGTAGCTAACAACGTTTGACTATTCACACACCCTTGAAGGAACAAATTATAGCTAGTAAAAATGTCTGTCCAAGGCCAACGGCAAGACCCTCGAATCTCTGGTTTAGCATCCCAAATTCCATCTACCCAGACAAAATAATTACAATATCAAAGAGGAACCCTAAACCCTCATACAAATCAATTTGTTACAAACCCAACACGCTTAGGATTTTTCCTCATGTAAATCCTCATGTGCACATTTAGAAACATAACTGAATGAATAGGATTGAAGTTCTTACCTTTGACGTGGACTTTAAGACCTGAAGGACAAGGTGTCAGCCGTGAGAATGGCAGTCGACAGAGACAACGAGAGAGAGAGAGAGAGAGAGAGAGAGCGAGAACTGCGAGTGAAGAAGGAGGAGATAGGTGAATTCAACGAGCGAGAGGGCGGGAGAGAGCGAAACGACAAGTTGAATTCAGTCAGAGACAGTGCGTGAAAGTGAGAAACTGAAATAGTTCCAATTTCAGATTTTGAAAATTTTCGGGTTCTTCACGGTATTTTTGTTTATAGCTATTTGACCCACACAAAAAAAAAATATATATATATATATATATATATATTAAAAACAAAAAAAACAAAACAAAACAAAACTCATTTCCAACTATGACAGAGTAAACCAACCCTCTTGTAGAAATCGTCACCAATTTCATTCCCATATGGTCTTAATCTTATGATTTGATAATATTTAATATGCATATCGTAATCAAGAACTAAAACAAGATAGCGATGAACTACACTTAATCCAAGTATTCCCTAAAAAATATAGTCTAAAAAAATTTATTTATTATTCCAAAAAAACCATAAAAAAATAATAATAATAATAAACATTCTTTTAAAGTTTCAAACATAGTACCTCTTTTCCGAAACCGCCCATTCCAAAATGCTTGTGACTCCATAGCCATAAGTAACAGTATACTTGTATGAACGGAAGTTGGAGATTCTTGGTTGCATACATAAGAGCAAATCCCTTATAAATAATTAACATAATCACTCCTTCAAATAGGATGATTCTCTCTTGAATCTCTTCTAACTCACTGAAATTGATACCCAGGAAACAAATGTGATATCAATACTTTTTTCTTGTTTTTGGTAATAAATGTTGCGATCAAAGTATGCAAAAATTAAAGAAAAACGCATTGCAATATTTAACTTGAATGAATTTTTTACCTGAATTTTGGGTTTTGTTTGGAGTTTAGCAGCTTGAGGTGCGATTTTCTTTCTAGTTTTATGGCCAAACAGATCACCAAAGAGCTAGAGAGTTCTAAGTTGATGATGAAAACTTATCAATGTTGTGAATATGGCTTTCTGTTTTATAGAGAGAGTGTGTGACTTAATTTTATTTTATTACTTTTTTCCTCTTTTAATTCTTCAGCTAGTACTTAGGGAATCACATGCTGCACCTGCATCTCTGCAAATGCCATAAAGGAGACAACTATTTTCACTTTTTTTTTCTTTTTCTTTTTTTCCAAACTACAAAACTCAATAGTGATTAGGGAATCACATGCTGCATCTCTGCGCATAAAAAAAACAACATGCTGCATCTCTGCATCTCTGCACGCCTAGTTGCCCAGCGGCAGCTGCATGCCATCTCTTCTTTTCAGCTTTTGCCTGACAGCTTAATTTCAATATCTCTTAGAGTATCTCCAACCGATGTGTCAGACGTGCCACATAGACATTTAATAGCTATAAATAACATCTCATATCACTCCAACCGATGTGTCAAAGCTGATGTGCAATAAAGACTGGAGGTTGAGATGTTATTTTTGACATCTCAAAAGTAAGATGTCAAATGAATATTTAATTATTTTTTCTTTTCTTTTCTTTTTAACTAAAAATGAATCAACACTAAAATGTAATAAAATAATAATTTAATTTGACATATTAGGTGAAGTGTAAAGCTGTGTAAGATGTCAAATTACAACATCAACCATCAAATTTAAATTTGATGTATGGTATTTGATATCTCCCTTGGAGATGCTCTTAGAAATTCAGATTCATTGCTTTATTTTTCTTTGTTTGAATGTGCTTGATGACGTTTATCCAACAAGTGTGGTACCTTATTAAGTGAAGTAGTTAATCTTCATCAAACAGGTCTCTTTTCTTATTTGACAGGTAAACCTTGGATTTTTGTGGGTTTCAACTTTTAGGAAAATTCTACCATGGGCTGTATCCATGCGCCCAAATTATCAACCATTGGATGAGTAAGTGGAGATGTGGGTTAAATCCACACCATTGAATGCTGGTAACTGGTTAAAAGGGTTGCTGTAGGTAAAAGTGAATAAAATAAAAATTAAACAAAAAAAGAAAAGAAAAATAGAACAATACAAAGGGAGAAGGGCAAAGAAGATGTTGAACTGCTGAGGCAATCCCACCAACTCTCTCTTTCATCTCCCCCTCTCTTCCCCTACCTGTGAATCGCTTGATTTTGTGGATGAAATTGAGAAGATCTTAAATCTCTTGCTCCTTCTCTATCTCTGTCCATCTCTCTCTCCGTCCCCCTCTCTCTGTCTACCTCTCTGCTCCTCTCTGTCATCAATTCAAACCCTAGAAAGTTGGGGATTTTTCCAATATCAAAGGTCAGTTTGCTTTTTCTATTCCTTTTATCTTTTGGTTTATGGTATTTTTTTTTTTTTTTTTTGATAGCTAGGTTTTGTTTGTTGCTAATGTGATTTTTTGTTTAAATTTGATAATTGGTTTGTTTTGATTCCCCTGGTCCTGTTTTGTGACATAGCTGTTCTAGAAACTCAAATTTTATGACTGGCATAGATCTATTATTGTGAATTTGTTATTAATTAGGATAAGTAGTCCCAATAGATGAAAGGTTGAGAAGCTCATATGAGAATTTTTATGGCAAGGCCAAGGAGAGGGAAATAAGTGCAGTTGGTGAAGTGGGAGTTAGTGTCAAAGGATTAGGGGTATTGTCATATTGTAAGTGGTAATTCACACGTTAGATGGGTCTTTTTGCTATCCATAAAAGAACTAGAGCTGAAACGATTTAGGAATAAAGTTGGAATGACCATTTAGGACTGAAGTTGCTAGCAATGAGTATTGATTTGTGTATATTGAATCTAGGAAAATATATTTCTGCTGTTAAACTGCATGCAAAATCTGAGATTTTGCTATCGATTTCCCTATCTTCTTTCAACATATGTCATGGTTTGGTTTTTTTTTTTTTTCTTTTGCAAGATTGACCAATCTTTCAGTCACAAGTTAGAATCCATCCTATCATTCAACTCATTGTGTTATCCTTTTCCTTTATTACATTCATTAGTATTAGCTTGGCAACAAGGTCAGTAGAACCTGTTAACAAATATTTAATAGCCATTATAAGTTTTCATCCAGTGCTTCTGAGAAATGTCTTCCCCAGTTGTTTATTGTGAACTATGTATAGGTACATGGGTCTGTAATTATTTTTGTTGATGAACAGATTGTGGAAGTAATGACAGAGATTGTGGTTGAAAAAGTGCTTAGTTCAAATTTCAATATTTAGGCATATGTTTTAAACTTTGGAAGGGAGCAAGGGATGTGGAGGTGGATCTTCTATGGGATAGGCTTCGTTTTTGGGATTCCCTTTGGCTGTTGGTATCTTCAGAATTTAAGGATTGTTCCATTCAAGCTATATTGTATTATTGGAATTCTGCTGTCAACTACAAGTTTTGTTCGTCTAGTGCCCTGTATCTTTGTTAAGTTGTTTACTTAGTATAGCTAGACCAGTGGACAACTTGTCCCTTGTATTGTTCTGTTCTCTTATTAATGAAATTATGTTTCTCATTACAAAAAAAAGACAATGAAGTGATTGAGAGAGTGAGTTAAAAATTGAACAAGAATAATATTGATAGATTGGCTCACCTAAGAGTTAAAGGAAATAATGCAATTGATAAACAGTGAGTTGGAAATTAAACAAGAATAATGCAATTGACAAACCATAAGTTTGAAATTGCAATACCTATCCGTAATCTTGTAATTGACAGCTATGGACAGTTGTGTTCCATAAAATTGTAAAACCCGTCCATTTTGGACATCTGTTTTGGACAGCTGTGTTTCATAAAATTGTAAAACCCATCTGTAATCTTGTAATTGACAAACAGTTAGTGGGAAATTGAAACTAAATAATGCAATTGACAAATAGTAAGTTCAAAATTGCAATTGACAAACAGTAAAGTGGAACATTCGGAAGGTAAATTGGGTCCTTGTACTTATAAACACAAACGTTTACAATATTAAGGTCTCGTACTACTCTATGTTAAACAGGTGTGTTCCATAAGAGTATAAAACCCATCCTTAATATTGTAATATCATAATTTACAAAGATAAAGACATCTAGTACAATATTAAGGTAACTTGGGACATTAGGAAAGTAAATTGGGTCCTTATTCTTGTATAAGAATAGGGTAAGAGTGGACCTTGGTGGAATAAATTTGGTCTTTGCCATTGTAAACAAGGGAGTTTACAACATATAGGACTTCCGTTATATTGTTATGGACAGAGGGGTTCCATAAAGTTATAAAAGAGATCCTTAATCTTGTAATATCGTAATTTACAAAGGAAATGACCCCCAATACAATGTTAAGGTAAGAATGAACCTTGGAGTAGGAAATTGAGTCATTATCCTTGTCAACAAGGTGGTTGTTACAACATTAAGGATTCGTATTATACTAAAATGGACATAGTCGTTCCATTACATTGTAAAAGCGATCCTTAATCTCGTAATACCATAATTTACAACAACAAGGAACCCTTGTATAAGAATAGGGTAAGGACCTCTTTCACAATATTTTGGATTCTATAAACTTGTAAAGTGTATCCATAAACTTGTAATATCATAAATTACAATAGAAAGGATCTCTATTACATGGTTAAGGTAATTGTGGACCTTAGAGATGTAAAATTGGTGCTTATTCTTGTAAATGCAATGGTTTAACCTTAAGGACTCGTATTACAGTGCTTTGGACGTAAGCTTTCCATAAACTTGTAACGCAGATTCTTAATCTCGTACATTACAAGATTTGGGTTCTCATTTATAATTTTTTGCACCATGATTACAAGTTTGAGGTTCTTCCTTATCCATAGCATTGTAATATCCTAATTTACAATTGAAAGGATCCCTCTTACAATGATAAGGTAAAGGTAGACTTTGGAGAAGTAAACGTGGTCCTTATTCTTGTAAACACAAGGGTTTATAGTATTACGGACCTCTTTTACAATGTTTTGGACCTCCATGTTCCATAAACTTATAAAATGTATCCATAAACTTGTAATATCATAAATTGCAATAGAAAGGATCTCTATTACATGGTTAAGGTCATTGTGGACCTTGGATATGTAAAATTTGTACTTATTCTTGTAAATGCAATGGTTTATAACATTAAGGACTCGTATTACAATGCTTTGGACGTAAGCTCTCCATAAGCTCGTAACGCAGATCCTTAGTCTCATACATTACAAGATTTGGGTTCTCATTTATGATTTTTTGCACCATGATTACAAGTCTGAGGTTCTTATTTATCCTTAGCATTGTAATATCCTGATTTACAATTGAAAGGATCCCTCTTACAATAAAAGGTAAGGGTAGACTTTGGAGAAGTAAAGGTGGTCCTTATTCTTATAAACACAAGGGTTTATAGTATTAAGGACCTCTTTTACAATGTTTTGGACCTCCATGTTCCATAAACTTGTAAAGTGTATCCATAAACTTGTAATATCATAAATTACAATAGAAATTACCTTTATTACATGGTTAAGGTAATGATGGACCTTGGAGATGTAAAATTGATACTTATTCTTGTAAATGAAATGGTTTATAACATTAAGGACTCGTATTATAGTGCTTTGGATGTAAGCTCTCCATAAATTCGTAACGCAGATCCTTAATCTTGTACATTACAATATTTGGGTTCTCATTTATAATTTTTTGCACCATGATTACAAGTTTGAGGTTCTTCCTTATCCATAGCATTGTAATATCCTGATTTACAATTGAAGGGATCCCTCTTACAGTGATAAGGTAAGAGTAGACTTTAACGTTGTAAATGTGGTCCTTATTCTTGTAAACACAAGGGTTTACAGTATTACGGACCTCTTTTACAATATTTTGGAACTCCATGTTCCATAAACTTGTAACGTGTATCCATAAATTTGTAAACACTTGTGTTTACAAAAATAAGGACCACATTTATACAGCCAAGTACCAAGGCATTGGGAGAAATTTGAACATGTTTCACATACTATGCAATTGCCAACAGGCGATGATAATTGCTTACTATAATGCACTTGCCAAACAGGCAGAAATAATTGCATACGGTAATACAATTGCCAAACAGGCAACGGTAATTGCAATTGAAAAACATGCAATTTATGATTCCTGGTTTGGGAATTGCTCATTATGTTGCCAATCCACTCTTTAACTCCTCCCATATTATCTCCTTTTGTTTACCTATTCCAAGTGAGATTTTATAAGTAATTTGCAATTGCCGAATGAAGATAGAATAATTGCATTTATTAGTTTGCAATGTCATTTATATATGCAATTAGTAGCTCCCTATTTGGAAATTTCTTAAGTCGTGGTATTTTGTGGATAGTCATTGCCAATCCAAGTTGGTTTCTAAGTTTAGGCGATTACAACTTTTGCAACTTAATGGCAAACCTCATAGCGCCATAATTGATGATAGACCATTATTTTGTATTATTAATATATTCAAAATATATTTTTATAAAAAAGAAACAATACTTGGATTGTCTCCAATATCAGTACGAATGAAATATGCGCAAAATTTGCTTTCTATTAGAGAACTCTACATTCAAAATGATGTACAACTACAAAATAACAAGACCAGGTAATTTGTAATTTTTCATCTGTAACTGGTATATCCTGGCGCAGCAATTGCATTTACTTACAATAGCATAAATTAAATAACTTTAAATACATAACCAAAAATCCAACAAAAAAGGGCTGTCTAAACCAAATTGTCTTCAAAACATTATAGGTTACAACGTAAAATATAGAATATAAAGATCAGTCTCAACAAGTCTCATCCAATGGGAAACACATTGAACACCTACATAAAACATAAAATAAAAGTCATTATTCTCAGTTATGTTACAAAATACAATATAGAATGTGAATCCTATGTATTACTCTAATATAAAAAATTCAATCATATGTATTACTCTAACATCAAGAACATATTTGATGGATATAATTATAACACGAATATGATTATTATGAAAAACAACACTATGTCATGATCCATTGAAAATCAGATTCAACGAGAGAGGTATTTCAATAAAAACAGATTTATTGAACTAAACTCCCCTAAAGTATATTCAAATTGGAAGATATCCTTGTATGACCATTGAACTAAACTACCCTAAAACATAGCCTTAACCAATAGTTTGGTCCAGCCTCTATGTCAAACAGAGAATGAAAAATCATTTCTTGACATCAAATTAGAGATCTTACACAAAATAGAAAGAATATCAAAGAGGTTAGACATACTGTAAAACTAAGGCTTATACAAAAGCCAGGAAACATAAACAAGAAAAACCTGAAGCATGCAAAGCGTAATAGACAAAAAACAGTGAAAAAAAAACAATAAAAGTGATCAAACATTAAAAAGCAACAAGAATTACATAAGGAATTGCATATTGGTCCTCAAGCAATTGCATAATGTTACTTATGCAAGTACTTAATAGTAATGCAATTGACAAACAGAAATAAACTAAACTCAACACGAGAAACGCAATCACTTGCCAAAACTTGGCCTTTAATTGATTTCTAACAGAAATTGCATCGCTTCACTTTTTTCTGAGACTACCAGAATTAGAAATATTTGTCTGCATTGCATGAGTTGTCTTATTATTTAGATAGTACACACAAACATCACAAACTACAACACAATTTCTTCTCTTATTTTTGCTAGTCAGTGACACTATTTATGGTCTTAATAGCATAATGCACCACACATCAGAAACTTGTGTTCTGAAACAATTGCACTAAGTTTCTGCTCTGGTTCACGCATGGAAGAAGACAATAACTCAAACAAAATCCTACATGCAAGCATTTGTTTTGTGCTAGTAAAAGCAGCAGCCCCAAATAAATTCACTCATTATCCATATCATACGCAAGTACATTATTAAAATAAAAAAAGCCACCAAAATCACCACCAAACTTATTATTAACGATATGAAAAATATGAATGGAAATTTCAACATTCAATATGAACTTGAGGAGCGCCATTCATATTCAACACAAAGAAAAATAATATCAATGGAAATTTCAAAAATTATGAAAAATATTTATTTCCAGGCATAAATCGTATAATATGAATGATAAGAAATAAGTTCCAGAACTTCAAACTGGCCTGCCAAAAAATGGAATCTAAATATAAAATTGCATACCAAGCAGATGTTGAGAGCAAATCCAACTAATAATAAAGTAAACTTGGAATGCCAAAAAAATTCAACAAAAAACTTGAACAACATAAAACCCAAAAAATATTAGGCTAAACAAGAAATGGAAGATAATAAAAATGAAATATGAAAAAAAACCAAGGAAAATAATTGTTGCTGAGGGATGGGGTTTTCAGTGAATCTTAAATCGAATATACAACAGTGAGATATTATACATGGGTTGAGATTGAAGATGCCGCACGTAGTTTGCATCAAACCTTTGTTACTGTCGAGCGAGAGGAGAGAGATTATCAATATGTATATGGGAGGAAGATTCGGTCACTGCCGTGAAGAAATAGAGGAGTCAACGTGTGAGATAGGTTGTT